TCAAATAATACCATGCGGGACACATTCGTTTTTTCTTCGCGCGCGCACGCCGAAATCTCCAAAAACCATTGGGCTTCTTAAGAATTTTAGCACCGCGCATCATAAAATCACACGAATCGCACCGTGGGTTAACAACTTCTGTGGGTTAACAAGGCTTAACAACTTCTGTGGGTGTACGAACGTAGGCTTAACAACTTCTGTGGGTGTGTACTCCACGCCAGTGTAGTAGCCACGGTCGTCCGCAGGCCACGAAGTGAAGTGTCCGAACGTCATAGGGCGGGAAGCTGGGTGTGGGTGGTGGCGAAGAGTCGTGTGGATATTTGGTAGAGCTTGCACTGCCCCCCCACAAAGTGGGGGTATTGGCTGGCGTCGCATGAAAACCCTGGCACTGGTGAGAACACTGAGCGTTCGGGTAAAGTGATTGTCGTTGTTGTTGTTGTTGTTGGAATAAACGGGGGTTGGGGCCCCGTGTTCGCCCCCCCCCCCAGCAACCAGCAACCAGCAACCAGCAACAATCCCTTAGGGAGGCCCACCGAAGCTTCCCCAGGGGATTGTTGCTTTGGCTCCACAGGGCGCTCCACCGGAGCATCATTTCGGCACACCCCTCTCGAGGATCGCGGCCCTGACTTCGCAGGGAACCCCACCGAAGCTTCATTTCGGCACATCTCTCTCGAGGATCGTGGCCCTGACCCCACAGGGAGCTGGACCGACGCTTCATTTCGGCACACCCCTCTCGAGGATCGTGGCCCGGGCCCCACAGGGAGCTGGACCGACGCTTCATTTCGGCACACCCCTTCTGAGGATCGCGGCCCTGGCCCCACAGGGAGCTCCACCGAAGCTTCATTTCGGTACACCCCTCTCGAGGATCGTGGCCCTGGCCCCACAGGGAGCTTAACCGAAGCTACATTTCGGAACACCTCTTTCGAGGATCGCGGCCCTGGTCCGACATGTAGCTCCACCAGAGCTTCATTTCGGCACACCCCTCTCGAGGATCGTGGCCCTGGCCCCACAGGGAGCTCCTCCGATGGTTCATTTCGGAACACACCTCTCGAGGATCGTGGCCCTGGCCCCACAGGGAGCTCCAGCGAAACAAAATTTCGACACACCCCTCTTGAGGATCGTGGCCCTGGCACCACAGGGAGCTCCTCCGATGGTTCATTTCGGCACACTCCTCTCGAGGATCGTGGCCCGGGCCCCACAGGGAGCTCCACCGAAGCTTCATTTCGGCCCCACAGGGAGCTCCTCCGAAACTTCTTTCTAGCACGCATCTATAGAGGATCGTGGCCCTGGCCCCACAGGAAACTGCACCGAAGCCCGATTTCGGCACACCCCTCTCGAGGATCGTGGCCCTGGCCCCACAGGGAGCTCCTCCGATGGTTCATTTCGGCACACTCCTCTCGAGGATCGTGGCCCGGGCCCCACAGGGAGCTCCACCGAAGCTTCATTTCGGCACACCCCTCTCGAGGATCGTGGCCCGGGCCCCACAGGGAGCCCCAACGAAGCTTCATTTCGGCACACCCCTCTCGAGGATCTCGGCCCTGGCCCCACAAGGAGCTCCACCGAAGCTTCATTTCGGCAAACCCCTATCGAGGATCGCGGCCATGGCTCCGCAGGGAGCTCCGCCGAAGCTTTATTTCGGCACACCCCTTTCAAGGATCGTGGCCCTGGCCCCACAGGGAGCTCCACCGAAGCTTCATTTCGGAACACACCTCTCGAGGATCGTGGCCCTGGCCCCACAGGGAGCTCCAGCGAAACAAAATTTTGACACACCCCTCTTGAGGATCGTGGCCCTGGCACCACAGGGAGTTCATCCGAAGCTTCATTTCGGCACACCCCTCTCGAGGATCGTGGCCCTGGCCCCACAAGGAGCTCCACCAAAGCTTATTTCGGCACGCCCCTCTCGAGTATCGTGGCCCTGGCCCCACAGGGAAGTCCACCGAAGCTTCATTTCGGCGGACATCTCTCGAGGATCGTGGCCCTGGCCCCACAGGGAGCCCCACCGAAGCTTAATTTCGGCGCACACCTTTCGAGGATCGTGGCCCTGGCCCCACAGGGAGCTCCACCGAAGCTTTATTCCGGCACACCCCTCTCGAGGATCTTGGCCCTGGCCCCACAAGGAACGCCACCGAATTTTGTGTTTCGGCACACCCATCTTGAGGATTGTGCCCTTGGTCACACAGGGAGCTCCCTGGCCCAACAGGGAGCTCCACCGAAACTTCATTTCGGCACACATCTCTCGAGGATCGTGGCCCTGGCCCTACAGGGAGCTCCACCGAAGTTTGATTTCGGCACGCCCCTCTCGAGGATCGTGGCCCTGGCCCCACAGGGAATTCCAGCAGTAATAGGATTGTATGAGAGCTGGATCCACCAGTAAGAGGATTGTAGTAGAGCTGGATCCACCAGTAATAGGATTGTAGTAGAGGTGGATCCAGCAGTGATAGGATTGTAGTAGAGGTGGACCGACCACTAATAGGATTGTAGTAGAGGTGGACCCACCACTAGTAGGATTGTAGTAGAGCTGGATCCACCAGTAATAGGATTGTAGTAGAGCTGGATCCACCTAAGGATCCGAGAGGACTCCGTAGATTCCGGAGCTTCGCTGGTGCAGACACGGCAAAATGGCATGGAGGATGAGTTCACACCCTTAAGCGAGCGAATTCGCCAGCGGAGCAGGGGGTTGCTGCTTGCTGGTTGCCGGTTGCTGGGGGGGGGGGTCCGAACCGGCCAATGGGGCACTGCAGACGCGCGGTTCCACCTTAGGGAAGAACGCGGGGAACGAGGTTTGGGACCATGGGGCACTCACGTGCGGTTGTTCCTTGTTGTTGTTGCTGCTGCTGGTGTTGTTGTTGTTGTTGTTGTTGTTGTTGCTGGTGTTGAACATTATTACTTCTAAAGAAATATTATTGTTGAGACCCCTGGTGCGCGACCCCCCTCCAAAACCTAGGCCGCAGCCTCATTTCCTTCATTTTCTAGCGAAAGCTTCAGAAAAGTGGATTGTGTCCGGATCCGGTTGTTTTGTTGTAATCCGTTTTCCCTTGCAAAAAACACTATAAAATGAAAATTCTTGTTCTTACTTGATCAAATTGCAAGAATCCCTTGCAAAAAATAAGGTAAAGTGGACATTCGTGCGCGCAAGACGAAATCCTTCCAAAACCTTAGGTTTCGTAACGATTTTAACATAAAAACATCAAAAACCCAATGGTTTTTTAAGAAAAAATTGTCAAAATGTCCTTCCGCGCGCGCTGTCCGAATCCTACAAAACCAATGGTTTTTCAACATTTATGTTACATGAGCTCGCGCGAGCTACTTTTTCTTGTTCTAACATAATCAAATTTCAATAATCCCTTGCAAAAAATAAGGTAAAGTGGACATTCGCGCGCGCAAGACGAAATCCTTCCAGAACCTTAGGTTTCGTAACGATTTCAACATAAAAACATCAAAAACCCAATGGTTTTTCAAAAAAAATGTCAAAATTTCATCCTGTGCGCGCTGTCCGACTCCCACAAAACCCATGGTTTTTCAACATTTATGTTACATGAGCTCGCGCGAGCTACTTTTTCTTGTTCTAACATAATCAAATTTCAATAATCCCTTGCAAAAAAAATGTAAAGTGGACATTCGCGCGCGCAAGACCAACAAAAAACACGACGATCTCAGGAACTTGCCCCAAAAATGTGACCAACTCCGCTCTCTCTGTCTCTCTCTCTGTCTGCTCTCTGTCTCTCTCTCTGTCTGTCTGTGTCATGTATTGTATGTCACAATTGCAGGATGCTGGGCACACGCGCGCCCCGAATAAGTGACCAAGTTCTGTGGGTGTGTACCCCACGCCAGTGTAGTAGCCACGGTCGTCCGCACGCCACGAAGTGAAGTGTCCCAACGTCATAGGGCGGGAAGCTGGGTTTGGGTGGTCGCGAAGAGTCGTTTGGATATTTGGTAGAGCTTGAACTGCCCCCCCACGAAGTGGGGGTATTGTCTCGCGTCGCATGAAAACCCTGGCACTGATGAGAACACTGAGCGTTCGGGTAAAATGATTGTTGTTGTTGTTGTTGTTGTTGTTGCTGGTGTTGTTGGTGCGGTTGTTGCTATCATTGCTGTTGCTGCTGCTGTTGTTCTTGCTGTTGTTGCTGTTGTTGTTGCTGTTGTTTTGCAGCGGGGGGGCGATCGGCTCTTAAAGAGGCGCCAGACCGCCGCAGCTGGGGAGCAGCTGAGCCTGTGTTTCGCGGGGGGGGCTCAGGTGTCTTGCTTCGCCCGGCGCTTTTGTCTTCGGGCCTCCGGGCCTCGGATGACGACCCAGTGCACGCGTGGGGGGGGGCTCGGGTATCTTGCTTCGCCCTGGTGCTGTCTTCGGGCCGCGGCCTCGGATGGCACAGTGCGCGCGTTCTTCGTGCATCACCCCCCTCCCCCTCCCCTCGCTCCTCCTCCTCCTCTCGGCCCCCCTTCCCACTCCAGCCTGGCGTGTAGCCCAGGATGGCGCGGGTGCGCCCGTGGGTTCGGCCTCTCCCCGTACTGGGCGCCTCCTAGCCCCTTTCTGGACCCCTGGGTTGAGTCGGGCGTGTCCTTCTACAGGAGGAATATTCAAAAATAGTTCTAAACTAGTCTGGGGACGATTTTCCCATTATGTGTTATATATATACACACAATTTCGGAGCATTTTTTTACTATTTACAAGTTGTCCTCCAAAATCCGCCTGTAGGAGGGCGTGCCCGACCTATGGGTCCAGCTGGGTTTTCTGGAGGGCGTGGGCCGAGCCACGTGGCACGCCCATGCTGGCTTGTGCTGCCTAGCACGCTCGAAGTGGCCATTCCACTCCCCTCCCTCCTCCCCCCTCCTCCTCCTCCTCCTCCTCCTCCTCCCTCCCTCCCTCCCTCCCTCCCCACTCCCATGTGCCCCGCCTCCCTGCTCTTCCCCCTCCCTCCCCTCCTGGAAGCGCCGGCACCTCCCCCGGGGCTCGCAGCCTGCACGACGCGCGCCCCGTCCGTGCCTCGGGAGCGGCAGGGCAGGCCAGCAGCCTCAAGGCGACGCGGCTCCTGAGCCGGAGGGGCGGGGTCCGACGGGAGCACGGGAGCTCCGGGGAGGAGGGGGGGGGCAGTGCGGACGGGGGTGAGGCCAGGGCACCGGATCCTGCGGAGATCCCCTCTGGCTGCCCCAGCATTTGCCTCGCTCGGGCTGCCTGCACTAGCTCGTATCCTTGACGGAGGGTTGCCTCAGTCATCACGAGTGTGCCTTGGGAGGAATCCGATGTTTCGGTGCAACGCCTGGCGGCGGGAGGTCTTTCCACTGTCACCGATGGGACCGCGACCACTAAAGCCAGTCATAGTTTGCATTTGTGATGCGCCACTTTCATGGTGCACGAAACGTGGGAGAGTTGCGCCAAATCGGTCGGGGACCACAACGGTATCGTGCCAACTGGAACCGTACTTGTCCAGCACCACTATGTGCCATGATTGTCGTGGCCGCAGGTGGGATTGGGGCGCAATGTACTACGACCACTGGGGTCGTAGGTAGGGACTTAGCTGGGGCACGATCTGTGAGGGGCACGCCAAATCGGACTCCACATGGGGCCACGAAACGTGGCCCCAACCAACACGCGGTTGGGGGAATGATCATCCACACGCGCGTTTAAGTCGGGCAAGTCCCTCTACAGAAGGAGTATGCCAAAATAGTATTAAAAAATAGTGGGGGGACGATTTGTTTTTGGTATCACGGGATATTGTTTGAGCATGTCTGGGGTATTTTTAACTTTTCCTCCAAAATCCCCCTGTAGGGGGACATGCCCGACCTGAGCGTGCGTTCCAAGAGGGCCCTCAGAGAGGCCCCGAGCGGCCCCAGCGGGGGGGGGGGACTGCGAACCCGCATGCCGAGGCACCCGCCCCAAGAGGACCCCGAAGACCGCCAGCAGGCCCCCAAAGGCCTTCCGCAGGGGAGGCCCAGGGCGCCCCCTAAGAGGCTTCACAGCCGTTCCCGAGAGGCTCCCCCAAGGAGGCTTCCCCGGAGACTCGAACGGGCATTCAGGAGGTCTCCCACCAGCAATCCAGGCACGGTGGCAAGATGGGCAGAAGGCCACAAGGAGGGGCACACGTGGACGAGGGACACGGTGGCCTCCCCTCTCGGTCCTCACACTTCGAGGCCTCGAGCCCGAGAGGACCCAAGAGACCGCCCGCAGGACCCGAAGACCCCCCAAGAGGATTCTAAAGGCTCCGAAGAGACCCAAGAGAGACCCGAGAGAGGCCCCCAAAGTCTCCCAAACAGCCCTCAAGGAGCTTCAAAACTGCATCCAAGAAGTTGCCCGGAGGCTTCCCGAAGGACCCCAACAGGCATCCACGAGGTTTTTGACCAACATCCCAGGCACGGTGGCAGGATGGGCCGAAGGCCGCCAGGAGGTGCACACGTGGACGAGGGGCACCGTGGCCCCTCCTCTCTGTACTAATGTATACATCTGTATATATATAACTATATATATAATGTACTATATATGTGAGCATACACACATATATATGTATATATATATATATATACAAGATTGCAGTGGCGCTTCGCGCCATGCACCTTGGTCCTTGAAGTTTGGTATGCAGGCGGGATGGCAGGAAGCTCAAGCCGACAATTTAGCGATAACTCCTTGATGCCTTGTCCAGCATCGCCGTTATCATATTGTTATTCCTTGTTTTTCCTCCATGCTTCTTTTTCTTCATTCTCGCCATACCCTGCCTATTCTCCCCAACCTCGTCAGTTCTTTTTTGCGGAGGCTCCTCCTTGGAGAGCTTCTGGGGGCCTCACAAAAGCTTTTCAGGCTTTCTTAAGGCCTTTTGGAGGCCTCCTGGGCGTGTTCTGGGGTCTTCTGGGGGCTTCCTCGGGCCACCCTGCCTCCAACCGCGGTCTCCCTGAATGACCGGGTCACGATTTAGAAGGCTTCGGAAGGTGTCTTGGAGCCACCTTGGGCCGTCATGGGGCTCTCTTAGGGCCATCGTGGACTCCTGCTCCGTTTGGGGCTCTCTTGGACTGCCTGGAAGCCCTTTCGGATAGTTGTGGGGCGATTTTAGAGCCTCCCAGGCGGCTTCGGACGCCCAGAAGACCGCCGTGACATTTCTGAGCGATCTTTGGGGGTATGACGGCTTTTTGGGGGTCGTCGTGGACCGTATTGGGGCTCTCTGGGGTCGTTTCGGGAGCGCGCCAGAACGCCTGGAACCCGTCTGGGGCTGGCTTCGGGCTCTCGTGAGGTTCTCCCGGGTCGCCTGAAGGGTTGCCCGGAGGCCCGTGGAGGGCCAAATTCGTTTGGGGAGGGGGGGGCGCTTTTTCCGGCGTCCCGGCACTATAAACGCACACACACACAAACACACATATATATATATATATATATATATATATATATATATGTATATATATGCACGTATAGAGTCAACCCGCATAACAAGGATGCGCAATTTTCAAGATTACTTTTGCATCCTTTCCCTTCAGCCACTCCGTGGCTGCTTTCGCTGGCCGCGCCCCGCTCGCAAAGTGTCGGCATGGTCTTCCAAGGACCTTTCATCCTTATCGCA